AAATAGTACCAAGGGACCTGTAATGATAGTGATATGGGCGATAACAGGCGAGATAAAATGATTTTGAATCTGTTTCAGGATAAAAAGGTGTATGAAGCTAATTTTTTTGCAATTTAGCCGAAGCTTTATGTGTTTTTGATGAAAGTGATGAACAGGAGGATTGCGAGGAAAGGAGAGCTGGAAGAGAAAAATGGATGAAAGGGTATGAAGGAGAGTTTCGAAATTCGATCTCACCAAAAGAGAACGGTCAGGGTTTTCATGAATGCCGCTCAAAGGAGTACACCACATTACATCGAAATAAGCACGGTAAAACAAATTGTAACAGTGACGGTGTGATAGGAGGATATGGAAAATGTGAATAGCCCATAGCAGAAGGGGAGATACCACAACTGTTTAGCACACGTTTGGTCAAAGGATCAGCTTCACTTGTATCTTTGACGAGTTGTAATATGCTGCTACGAATGGTAGAATTCACTGAGGAATGTACCACGTCCACGGTTCAACTTTGTAAATGCTCATGCATACAATGGACGCCGGATTAGATGTGTTTCTCTAAGTCTTTCAACCAATATGACCATTTTTCGAAAACAAGGTGAAACAACCTCTCTTTCCTATTGCTAATGTTACTTTTGCTTGAGTGTATGTGTGCGTACGTTAGTGGTATTGTGCATAGACGTTAATACAGACATGCAAACAAACAAGTAAGACTAGCATGACTAATATAAAAGATATTAAGCCAAACCATTGCATAATTATCCATATCCATACATCCTCGTCCTTTAGTGACGAGTTCATGTAAGATTTAAGATAGAACTGAACAATATTCTTGTATTAGTTTTCCGTTTTTTATAAGTAGTGCTTCAGAAAGTAGGTAGTTGAGTCGATGGTTATAGCAAATATAGGTTTCCTTCATCGGAAATCCGACCTACGAATGAGGAATGGGGAAATGTCTGGACTTACTTGTAATTCATGGTTCGACTCCCGCTGTGGATGCTGAGAAAACCTAATCGAGGTCTAAACTGCAGTCAACTCTAGCAGGAATGAGAACAACTTTTGGAAAAACAAGGCCATGTGACATTCATAGAAAATTTCAACTCTACTCATATCAGGGTGGGGAAATCTATCTACCAGTTCTTCATCACCCTAAATGAAAAAAAGGAATATATTTCGTATTCTTGACTTTGTAATTGTTATTATGAAATGTATTCTCCCTATCTCGTTTAAGGTGATGAAGGACTGGTAGAAGAAGAATTTTCCCCCAGTGCTATGAGTTGAGCTAACGTTTCCATTCAATTTCACATAGCCTTGCTTTCCCAAAAATTGTTCTCATCTCGGATGCAGTGAACTACAGTTTCGACCCTCAGCGGGAGTCGAACCGCGACAGTTCAGAATGCAAGAATGACATGTTAACCACTCGACCACATTGCCACGAGTGCTCTTGGTTCACAGGGCGTGTGTGAATTTCAAGGAAGGCCAGGCCTTTTGTCATATAATATTCTTTGGTGGGATTGTCGATGAAGCAAACGTATATTTGCCTGATACTTTGACAAGAGTGAGTTCCAGCTTTGATGATGTCGATCATGTGATGGACGACAGCTTAGCCTCTTTTCACCCGAACCGAATGAGGATGTCTTGTGAACTATGCCAACCTGAACGTCGTGGTAAGTACAAACCATGCACAACAACGGGAATTGGCGATCGTTTTCTGGTGAGATCGACTTAAGATTCTCTTGATTATGCACTTTTATGTGAAATAAAACTCTCCACAAAGATATTATCTTATGAGATTAATTGAAATCCAAAGTAAATTCTGGCTTCGAAGTTGTTTGACCTTGTTTTCGCAAATCGGTCATGTTGGTAGGAAGACTTAGAGGAACGCACCTTGTCCGGAGTTCATTGTATGCATCATCATTTGCAGACCAGGACCGTGGACGTGGTACATTCGAAGAAGTTTCGCCGGCATCGTCAGTGAGTATCGCCATTCGTAGCAAGGCTATATTAAATTGAATGGAAACGTCAGTTCTACTCAGATCATTGTGGGACAATTCTTCTACCAGTCCCTCATCACCTTAGACGAAATTGGGTGAATACATCTCATACTACTGATTTACTGGTAGTCTCGAAACAATAATTAAATGCGAAAAATGAAAGATAACTAGCCAAATAATTCTATATTTTTATCTGCATGTTTATGAGTATAAACACGACTTGTGTTGGCTAACTTGAGACTCTGACAAGAATGAGTTCGATCTGTGAGGATGTGCGTCATTGGATGGACGAAGCTCAGCCCTCTTTCCCCCGAAACGGGAGATGATGCCTCGTGGACTCGTCAACTTGAAGGTCGAATAAAAGCAGTACCACGCGATTGTGCCGTCCTCTTCTGGTGAGATCAACCCACGAATCTCTTCTTCATGCGCTTTCATACCAAATGAAGGTCTCTCCAACAATGTCACCGCAACAGAGTCATCGAAACCCAGTTAGTCTTCGTGTCTAAAACAGACACAGCCTTAGATGTGGGCCGCTGATCCCCACAGCCCATAGCAACCGAGATCTGTAGACACTTGAGCAAAGTGGAGCTGGCAAGCATGACCTCATGCAAGCCCGCATGCTCGGCTCTGCTTTAGCTCATCCCGATCCACAAACACCCACGCGACAATCACTTCATGACCGATCGGATCCATGAGATCTGATCCAGTCTGGTTTTCTTTTTCTTTCACGCAGGGCGACAACGGCATTCCAGGCGGACCGGGACGGTACGGCCGAAAGGGGGGCAAGGGAACTCCTGGTCTGCCGGGGCGTAAAGGGGAGCCCGGATACTTGGATGCTGGGAGCCCTGGAGACCCGGTAACAAACAGGGATTGCATTTTTTGCAACTTCTTCTTCCACATCCCCTTTCGAATCTTAAACAGTTTTATTCTCTTTCTTCTTTTTTTTCTTCTTTTCTCCCGCTTATTCCTCTCATTTGCTCTTAATTATGCTTATTCTACTTTTGCTTCATTTCTGCTTCTCTTTCTAACCATACTTTGAAATCTGTATATGTTTCCAGATTGATGTGAAGACTTTCATTTCGTATGGAAGTACATGATGGATAGATTCACAGGCCAATCTCACCAGAAGTCGTCGGCTGGCCTAACAATCTCTTCAACATCTACTTCCACACGAAATGAAAGTCTTCACATCTATTTTATCTCATGAGTCTCTTAGAAACCCGCATTGTATCCGTATATATTATTTAGCTATTACTTTCGCTTATAATTCTTCATTTTATTCGCTTTACTTCGATTTTGCTCATGCCTTTATTTCCTCTTATCCTCCACCCTCGATTTACTTTTGCTTCCTATTCGTCTTCGATTATGATGAAAAGCTTGGTGTTGAAGAATTATTTGTGATTGTGTGTGATTTGATTATAAGTTTTTACATAAAAAGTTGACTAAAAGGAATTCATGAATCGGTCGCATTTGAAACTGTTGAATAAAAGCTATTGCATTTCGCCGAGAAATTTCCAGCAAAATGTTCAACGCGACTGAGGGACAAGTACGCGAGAACTTCTCGACACAACCCAACGGTCATCACCCAATGACAATCCTTTTTTTGGTAAATTTCCTTTCGAAAACCTCTCCTTCTAAACGAAAACTAGAATCGCGCTACTTTTGTTTCTTCTACGGTTTTCTTTTATTTCTGCAAATGCTTCGCTTGTGTATGTCTTCTTATCCTTCTTTTTCTCGTCTATTTCTACTTAATCTTTCACCTTTCATTTTTAATCTGTATACTTTTCGCTCAGCTTCTTCTTTTTCTTTTTCAATTCTGCCTCCATTTCATTTTCTGGTTCGTTTTTGAGTCTGTTTCTTCTTCCGTTTGCGTCTCATTTTCGGCTTAAGTTATGCTTTTGCTTTTTGGAGCTTTGCTTCTTATTGTCTTCTTATTCATCTTTTTCTCGTCCTTTTCTACTTAATCCTTCATCTTTACTTTTGAATCTGTATACTTTTCGCTAAGCATCTTCTTTTTCCTTTTCAATTCTGCTTCCACTTCGTTTCCTCCTTCGACTTTGAGTCTGTTTCTTCTTCCGTTTGCGTCTCATTTTCGGCTTAAGTTATGCTTTTGCTTTTTGGAGCTTTGCTTCTTATTGTCTTCTTATTCATCTTTTTCTCGTCCTTTTCTACTTAATCCTTCATCTTTACTTTTGAATCTGTATACTTTTCGCTAAGCATCTTCTTTTTCTCTTTTCAATTCTGCTTCCACTTCGTTTCCTCCTTCGACTTTGAGTCTGTTTCTTCTTCCGTTTGCGCGTCATTTTCGGCTTAAGTTATGCTTTTGCTTTGCCTCGAGCGTCGCTTCTTCTTGTCGCATGCTCAACTTGCCGTTGACGTGAGTCAGTTCGCCTCTGGGCACCCTTTCACCCATTTTTCAGGCATCATAGACTGAGACGCCTTAGCAACAAAAGATGCTAGACCTTGTCCGCCCACTCGGTAGACCAGTGCAGGGGCTCCACCAATCTGGCATCGGTTGCCGACACTCACTACTCGGCATCGAGTCCCGTCGTGGAACTCGACCATGAGGCAGCCTCTTCTCTTGACCTGACCTGAGGGCACTTAAAAAGACACGAACTGGCGGGAAAATATACTTTCCCAACCAATCAAATGAGCTTATTAGTAGCTCAGGCTCCTATGGGGGATAGTGCTGCTTTCTATCTCTATTCTATAAGATCTTGGTTCGTCCTTCTGTCATCCACTCTTCTTTTCACATTCATTTTTATCCCATCTTATTTCTGATCCATCATAGTTCATTTATTTGTAATATTTTCACAAATCGCCCATTTCTTCATTGGATTCTGACTCATTCTAAGCATGTTTTTTCCCATTTCAGGGCGTCCCTGGTCCTAGAGGTCAGCCCGGAGATCCGGTGGGTCCGCTAATTATGCTCTCTTTCTTCACACCTTTGTAGATAGACTGTATATGTGTGCATAAAACGGCTCGTTTTTTCCACTCTTCCACGTTATTTCAGGGTCAACACAGTGCGAAAGGGCCGCCAGGAGATCAAGGTCCATCCGGTCCGAAAGGAGAGAAGGTAAGTCTGTTTATTTCTGCCTGGCGGCTGATTTTGTCTTCATTTACGATTGACCCAAACCATCAAATAATTGGGTGGCGCAAGCATGAGTTAGGCTGAAAGAGAGACAAGAGAAGAATTGAAGTAAAGTTGGGTTTCAAAGAAGCTGTTTTTTCATAATTGATGAGCTTATTTCCATTTCGTTGAAGAGATTTGAAGGTCGGTTGCACCAGAAGACGACAGGAGATTCCTCTTTACCAGCTGTTAATTGGCTCTACTTTAACATTCTTGCCGACGCCGTTTCCGAGGCAATCTCCTTCGATTCCGGTGAAAAGCTCTAAGCTTTTGTCCGTCACATGATGAACATCATCAAGCAAGGTATCATCGTCATGACCAAATTCAAGCTGACGAGTCAAGAACACTCACCGACAAATCCCTAAAAAGTGGTATATATAATCTACATCTGGCCTCTTTGATCAAGTATAAAGTGATTTGGTTAGTTGAGGTCATATGTCAACTTCGATGCATGTGAGTGTGTCTGTATCTGTGAGTGTATGTGCCTGTTGGTGTTCGCAATTATTTTGAGCAATCACTGCGGGTTTCGTGCATAAGCGAACACAAACAGGCACATATAATTACAGATACAGACACACTCACATGCATCAAAGTTGACATTTGACTGTAACTAACCAAATCACTTTATATCTGATCAAAGAGGTCAGATGTAGAGTAGATATACCACTTTTTAGGGAATTTCCGGTGAGTTTTCTTGACTCGTTAGCTTGAATTTGGTTGTGACGATGATACCTTGCATGATGATGTGACGCACAAAAGCTTAGCACCTTTTCACCGGAATCGAAGGAGGTTGCCTCGGAAACAGCGTCAGCATGAATGTTCCAGTAGAGCCAATCGACATTCGGTCAAAAGGAATCCGTCGTCATCTTTTGGTGGAACCGACCTTTGAATGTCTTCACCAAACACTTTCACTCGAAATGGAAATGGGCTTAACAAAAGGAGAAGTGTTGCTTTGCAAGGATGCTTGGCCAAAATGGCAAGATCCTGTCTGCTTGGCTCTGGAGTATTTAAGTTGGACCTGATGCAGTCTGAGGGTCTTGATGTAACAGCAAGAACGATGGACTGCATTCCAGACCACTTTAAGTGTCGTAAAGATGTACAAGAAGCCCATTGCGACTCAGAGACCTTGGGCCATTCTAACGTTGAACCGTAAACGCAAACTTCGGAAAGTTCAACCAGTTTGCCAGTGACATTTTCCTGATAAAGTGGGGAGTGTCTTCAGTTTAATTTGGTGACGATTACGAGAAATTTGATTAAAAGGGAGCCTCTAACTTCAAATATAATTTAGGGGTGAGAAAAAAAGAATAAGGAGAAGGAAGATAATTGAGAGAAGCGAAAAAAGCGGTAATAGGAGGATACTAAACGTTAGAGTGAATGGACGCACAATGTTAATCTAAGTATTTCTATGAATTTCCAGTCCTTAATTACATAAAATCCCGATGGAAGCAGCTTGATGTACAGGAGCATTACAAAGTTGAAAAAAAGGGCTATGAACATTTCCTAATTGATTTAGATCAGGGTATGTTTGAGTTGGTTTGAAAAAGCGATTTAAAGAGATTCGTAAGTTGGCCTAAACGCAATATGTAGGGGGATAGCTTTGGAGCCGTAATTGTAATTGCAAACTACTTATCATAGTTATGAGTAGTATAGATTTTGTGTCACCTAGATCGGCAAACAGCAAACCAATTGTCCCTCCTTCGAGTAATAAAGGATTCTATGTGAAAAAAATTGTGTTTCAAAGAAGCCCATAATAGAATCATGTTGGAAGAGGCGAGTGGATGGGATTCGTAAGTTGGTTCCACCGGAAGCTGTAGGAGATGTAATTGTAGAATTGTGCGAATATGTCCTCGGCGAACTGCTCTGCGACGGACATCGTCAGGGCAAGAGAGTATGCTTTACGATACATCATCAAAACACGAAAACAAGAAACGAGGTCGTCTCCAGACCCACCTACTGCTTATGGTCCAATTTGCTCCACTTAATTAAGCACCTTATTTTTCGGTTGGATATCATATTCTTTGCCGAAATGTTTGCAGATGAAGCGTGAAACGGATGCAATTGTGACCGAAGTGCTGTATCCTCCTCTAAAACATCTGTACCGTTCATCCTGCATTGCTACTGCATGCAGTTCTATTCAATTGCACATGAGTTGTATGAATGCATTGCTGCTGAACAGAGTGCGACGTGAGAGAATCAAAACCAGATTCGTGCTCGGCGGTACTTCTGATTTCCTCCTCTCTCTTTTTCTCTAGCCATTCTATGCAAATAAGCTTCTACATGACAAACAAAACCGCTAACTGGACAACATAACTGGTATTTGTAATTACCTCTTTACATTTTACCGACCTACTCACCGCGCCATGAGTAGTCAGAAGACGAGATAGACAAGTCGATTATGTGTAGCGCATCTCGTCATGGCAACTTGTCTGTTTGGATTCGGTTTAAATCGCAA